GTGTGTGTGTGTGTGTTTTAGGTGGGTGGTGGTGCAGGGAGAGGGCGTCCTGCATTCAAATAGCTTTCTAATTTTAATCACTAGTTCAAATTAAATCCAACTTTTGGTTATTTTTGCCTCTCCAGCGTCAATAGAACGCTATTAAACTATGTCAGTTTATATAATCACAGTTTATCAGTTGACAGTGTGAAAGGTCTCCTTCCTGGTGACAAATCCAGCTCTATGTGGCTCCACAGGTCTTTTAACTAATTATTCTGGGTTGTCTCTGCAAAGCTTTTCTGTTTTGGTTCACTCTCACCAGGCGGGTGGAAAAGCTCTGAAAGCCAACTGTATGCTAACTGAACTGTTTCTAATTTATGAACCACTTTATAATGCTGATTTGGACATGTGAATAAATAATACAAAGTGTTCTTCAATAAAAAAAACAAACCTGTATGCTAGCTAACCAGCAATGGCAGACCAAAGAGGTGGTGGAGACCAAAAAGAGTGAATGTTGGACTTGTCTTCATCTGGAGGACACAAACTCGACTCCATGTCAATGCTGATGTTGCTCTGTAGCCCATCTGTGTATGAAGCCAACCACTTGCCAGTGAGCTTTAAAGGTAAACATATGTCAGTGTTGTGTTTACAGCTGGTTCCCGCTGGCAGAATTGTTTATTGTTGGTTTATAGGGGCACGCCACCGATATTACACTTAAAGGTCAGCTCACTCACTCTGTCTGTGGAGGAGCTTTGACATTTTAATTTGAAAATGACCCTGATGACGTCATCAGAGTTCATTTGGACTTGGTTTGAGACACAAAAGCTCTGTTATAGCCTAAACTGTGGGCGTGAAGTTTGAAAAATGGGCGTATTTGGAGGCAAGGCAAGTCTACAGAGAGACGTTGTTGAGTTGTACGGATTGTAGGATCCCGTGTTTTTAAGCTTGATTCAAACAAGGGACTGAAAGGCAGGACAACTTGGCCTAGATTTCTCTGACTTTATGGAAGTGCAATAGCAATACTAAATAGCTGGAGTATCACACCCATCATGCAAAGCAGCCTTTGGGCGCTGGCTTTTTTAGTATTTTTTAAGAAACACCATATTTGAATAGAGACTAGCTTTAAATGTTATAAAGTGAAGAGAGTATCCCTCCGTGTTCCTCTCTCCTGCAGTGTGACAGTATGACTCTGTCCAGCACCTCGGCTGTTCGCAGAGGAAGCACTCCTCTGCCAATTAAGCACCAGCTCAGACGAGAAGAAGCTGTCCACGATGACTGCGATTGGGCGTCAGGTGCAGCTGGACCTTCTGCTTCACCAATCAGCTTCAGCCCAGCCTTGGATGACACTCTGACTGTGTCTGTGGAGGGCGGCAGACCTGATGGGCCTTTAAGAATCGCCCTACTGGGGCAGAATGGCGTGGGGAAGTCTTCTCTGGCCATCGCCCTCGCTGGAGACATGGACAGAACAGCGTCTGTGGATTCTGAAGGTACAAAGCTGTGTGTTTGACAGGACTAATACAGAGCAGTATAATGCAGTGGAGAGGTGGCCCGCAGTGGCATTGATTTTACAGTGAGCAGCAGGTAAATAAATCACAGCACCCATGTTCCACCTGAGACCTAACTGCTGCTCTCCCTGTCCTTAGGGGAGGGTTATGTGCGCACAGTCACCGTGGATGACGAGGAGAGCACCATCATTATCTATGACAACTGGAGACAGGTGAGCCAAACAACACTTCCCCGTTCCCATGTTCCCTGCTCCCTGCTCCCTCATTAGTCCACCGAGGCCTCTCTGCAGCTGTGTACAGTGGGCTCGCCTGCTTTTTGGCATTTCACTCTGGTATATATATATATATATATATACATCTGGACTTGGCTGCTGCATCCTTGGATTGTTTGAAAAAGGAGTTTAAATGTTGCTTTTCAGTTCGGAATCTAAATTTACTTATTCTATATTGTATTTTTGTTAAAACTATTTGTGTGCTGCACATGATAATAATGTGCTTCACAAGTAAGGAGGTAAGCTCGGGAAATAATTCCTGGATTTTTAGCTTAGTTCATAGAGAACCAACAGCATCCGTGCATCAATCCATTCATACATACATACATTGGGCATATCCCAGCATGCACTGTGCAAAAGGTAGGGTACACCTTGGACAGGTTAGTAGTACAACTACAGCATATAGCATAGGAAATGAGATTAAAGGGAAAATATATTGTTGTACACCAACAGTGTAAACAGATGAACAGATTCTTACTGCATATGTAGCATATTTCAGATGAGTTTATCTTGTATATCTGGAACTCGTTGCATTGTTTATTATACTTGACAGTGCTGTAACAAAAAAACGATGCCAAGCTCAGAGAAATGCTGTGGCCAAAAAAAGGACAATAAATCTACTGCATCTGCATCCGGTAGACTGAGGAAAGCTCATTATCAGGTTGTTTTGCACACTTTTCCCCCTTTTCCCTCGAGTGCAGTTCAGAGGCATCTGTGTGTGGACGTGTGAGAGAGAGAGAGTGAGAGAGAGCAGATGTGCCAAATGACTACATTAATATTTCTGATTTAGGTGGATGTGTGAAAAAAAGAAAACAGAATTCACACACTTGCGAAAAACAGTTTTTGATGTGGGGATTTTTATGTGTTACTCTTTGGATAATGACTGATATTTGTTGTGAGAGACACTGCAGTGATCACCCTATAAAGAGTTTTCTTATATAAGTGTAGTATTACGTCTGTTCCTTTGGTCTGCGCTCAATTCTGGACCTAATCAAAATTAAATGAAAACTCAATAGACCATGGCAGCTAAAGACCGGCTGAGGTTTTGTCAGTTGTTCTACAGTGTGAAGGATTCACTCAGGGATATTTTATTTTTAGGGATTTTTGTCTGTGTCATGCTGAGAGAGGATGAGTGTGTGTCTCTGTGTGTGTGTGTCAGCAAGATTTTGAGTTGTACTGCATTTTCTGTTATCTACAGTTATCTGCAGTAGTAATTTCTCAGTAAACCACAGGGGATTTTAGCTAGAGCACTCAAATGTCTCTTTTTCTGCACATAAGGCTTTGACGATAACATTTATGAGAGCGAAAAGTCAAAAGTTCGGTCCCTGTCCTGACATCTCGCTGTATGTCTAAATGGCAACCACAGTATTGTAACGTGTGTCTGCCTCTTTCTGTCCCTCAGGACCTCTCGGCGCTGCTGTGTGAGGTGTGTGTCCTGGTTTTTTCGGTGACTGACAGGCGTAGTTTCCACCGCACTGCTCAACTCCGACTTCTCCTGAGGGAGACTCAGCCCCAAACTCCCATCATCCTCGTTGGTAATAAGAGTGACCTCGTTCGCACACGTGAGGTCACCTCTCAAGGTAAGTTGAACTCTTACCATATTGGCCTTATTTTCTTCCATTGTGGCTTTTTTCGCCACGGTTGGTGTTGACATTTTCATATCTTCATCTCTGTTGGTAAACACTAACGTAGAGTGAAATCTGTGAAAATGTAAATGTCAGTGTCTCAGCTCCATTGCAGTGTGGGAGTATGAAGGAAGTCGCAATTACAGTAAAAGCAGGAGAGCATTCACTGTGAGTGCGACGTTGTACTATTACACAGCCTGTAGATGGAGTACGTCCCAAAACTTTGGTATTTCTCTACAATATTAAATATTTATGTCTAAATACACAAACAAAGTTAAAGTAAACATCCATAGTTATTCTTTATTAAGAGTATAGAGTTGCAAAGTGAAAAGGCAAAAGGTACAAGCCTGTGTGCATACGACTCCCATGGTGCATTTTGGCAAGACATTCTGTTATCCACTTACAGTGCTGAGATGAAAACATAATATGCCTCTGAAGTCAGTTCAGTTTAGATTTTTGGATCCGTTTAGGGCGGCACATTTTGTTCTCTATGATGAACCATGCTGAATTTGCTACAGCTGTGACTGGCTTCTTCTCTATAGCAACAGCGATCGAGGCTTATGGGTATTGTAGTATTTGGAACCGTTTGCCGTGACTAAATGATGGAACTAGCGGCCCCAATAACCACAACAATCCTGACATTGGTATTGCTAAATTCTGATTGATGCATAGAAGTATGTGAGCATTTTTGTGAACCCCGCCCACTTCGACCCTGTGAGAAAAACAAAGACATCCAGAGATCTTTCATTTAAAATAACCAAAATGTTCCAACTGTGGCAGACAGCAGTGTGTTGTTGTAGGACCCCATCAATCGTAGCAAGAAGTTAAATATATTTTCATGACCTTTAAAGTAGTTTACAATGTGTACAGTTTACTGTCTTTGTCTCGAGCAGTCATTCTCATGCCCCCCCGTTCTACAATGTTTATCTGTCGTTAATGATAGGGTAAGCAACTAATAAAAGATGATCCAATTTGAATTTCAGAGAAATAAAGGTCATCACAATAACATCAGCAAACTCTAGTTTGTTTATTTTCCCTACCTAAATCACACTCAGTCAACAAGCTGTTTTTAAAGGTCCAGTGTGTA